CTTTACTTATTTATCCATTTGGCTGTGCTGGGTCTTAGCTGCAGCATGTGGGATCTATCTAGTTCCCTGACTAGGGGTCAAACCTGAGCCCCCTGCACTGGGAGTGCAGAGTCTTAGCCACTGGACTGCCAGGGAAGTCCTATTTTAAAAAAAAATTTTTTTCCTATTTAGTATGATAATTTTTTCTGCTGCAGAGTTAAAAAACATTTTTTATTGCAGTATACTTGATTTATAATTTGTGTTAGTTTCAGGTGGATGGCCAAGTGATTCGGTTATACATCTATATATTGTTTTTCACATTCTTTTCTCTGATAGGTCATTACAAAATATTGAGTATAGTTCTCTGTGCTGTACAGTAAGTCCTTTTTGGTTGTCTATTTTATGTACAGTGCTGTGTACATGCTAATCCCAAACTCCTAATTTATCCCTTCCCTGCCTTTCCCTTTTGGTAGCCATAAGCTTCTTTTCTGTGTCTGCTGATTACAGGGAGTTTTTGGGCTCTCCTTTCACATACATTCTATTGCCCAGGACTTAGGAAATAGTCATTCGGGATACTTCTTAAGGTTATCTCTTCCTGACCCTTGATTTTGGCATATAGCAGATGTTTCCATTATCCCAGAGTTGTGTCCCAAGATAGGATGGGAATGGAACAAGTGCCTAATAGGATGAGCAAAAAAGAGCGAGGATAACTTGCCACGTCTTGATCTTTCCCCACTTGCCTTCTTTTATGATTCTACTTCTTGAGTCTTCGTTTGGAGTTCAGTGGAAAACTCCCAAGTGAGAAGAAGAATTCTTTCCCATCCAGAACTTTTTCCCATCCAGAAATAGTAAATCACTTTCTATCTCTGTTATTAGTACAACTTCGGCATCCCCCGTCACACAAACTCCCTGCCCACGCCTCCATGGACTCTTCTTTGCACCTGGAAATTGTTACTTGCCTGAGCCTTGACGTGTTCTCCTCCCTAACATGACCTTGTTTGTGAGTACTCTAATATAAGATATGTCCAGATATTAAAATATATAAAGTATATAAATGTATGAAGTATATAGAAAGTGAAAGTGAAGTCGCTAAGTCGTGTCCGACTCTTTGCAACCCCATGGACTATAGCCTAAAGGCTCCTCCTTCCATGGGATTTTCAGGCAAGAGTACTGGAGTGGGTTGCCATTTCCTTCTCCAGATCTTCCCAACCCAGGGATTGAACCCGGGTCTCCCATGTTGTACACAGATGCTTTACCATCTGAGCCACCAGGGAAGTCCATAAGGTATATAACTCAAGTATAATTAATTTGCACACAATATATTGAATGAGATCATGAAAAGAACACATTTCCTGGCATTCTATTAAGATTCCATACCACATCATCAGGATGACGATGTTGTTGATGATGACAGTAGTTATGATCTAAAAGTCAGACTCTCCAGTCAGACTTGTCATTATACCACACTCATTTCCCTTACTGGTGACCCTGAGCTCATCTTGTACTTTCTGATGCTTGTTGTTTGGGTGAAAGCAAATGAGGCTTCCCCATTTTCTTGGAATCCCAAGGATCCAGCTGAGTTCCAGCCTCTCTAGGTCTTCCTCTGGATTGTATCCTCATCCAGGGAAGTGGCTTGGACAAAATCATCCCAGGACTGATGATTTTGGGCAGCACAAACTTAGAGGTAGAAAAGCCTCTCTGATTTATCCTAGAACCGTGGTTATATTCTCTCTTCATACATCATAACACTACTTACTTCTTTTTTTCTCTCTTTCAAGTAAGCCCACCTTTCCAATCCCACAAGAGAATAACAGATTCTAACTCTGAGAATACCTCCACAAGTTCCAAATTTGCTGCCTTCTTGATGCTTCCAAGAGCAAATTCAAATATTATATACCTTTGCTCTCCCTGGAAAACATATAATCTAGGAATTATTTAGCTTCTTAAGCCACATAGAGTGTTCTTACATTTTATTTCATTATCATATTAATGACCAGTGCTTATTGCAGATAAATTAGAAAATATGCATTTTCCACATATGAAAAAAGGAAAACAAAATTATGTGTAATTTCAACATCCAGGATTTTCTCTGTTAGCATATTAATGTGTGTGCTTCCATATTGCTTCTTATGGTCCAGTCCTTGAGATGGGATCATTGCGTACATACCATTTTTAACCTGATTTTAAACATTTTAATTTAATATATTTTGAAAATCTTTACATATTAATAAATCAAATCCAGTGAAAACCCATCACTGAGGTTTGATGATGGAAAAGAGGGGAGTTATGGTGTGTAGCAAACAATCTTACTGATGGTTCATCAAAATCCACATGGAACCCCAAAATACACAAACACCACTATAGCCAAGGCCACCACATGTCTTGCCTTGTTGTTCTTAAAAGCTCTTATCTCTGCTTATTTTTTTTATGTGTCATTTGTGGGTTGTCTCTCCTCCCAGAAGAATATAAGCTTTGTTTTATTTATCATCATACTGCTGGCACTAGAACTATATCTGGTACAAAATCTACTACTCAACCCAAATTTGTTGAATAAATTAATGAAGAAACCCCACATTAGTTCATTAGTTAATTAATAAAATTCATGCCACAATCTGTGATTACCTCCTTGCTTACTTATCTGGTATCTTGTTTATTGCCTAGGTAAGTGAGAAATAAAGCTCTGTGGCAAGGGTGGGGGTTGTTAAGCCACTGATTTTTAGAGTTTTTCTTTTTAGGACTTACTGTAACATTAACCAAGATTATCCTGACTAACACATATGTAAAGCCAGAGCTAGAAATTTGCTCTTTGGCCATGGAATTGAACAAATTCAATTGATATAAACTAGGATTTAGGCCTATGGTTTTCACCTAATGGTCTTATTTTCTTTTTTGTTATTAGAATACTCATCCTGCACTCCTGGCCTAAAAGCAAAAGATATAAACCCTGAAAATGTTCTGAATACAAATTAGATTTCTTCAGATATTTGTTGAGCTTGAAATAAAATATTTCAGTTTCGTACGCTATCTAGATTGTTTCTATTGTAAATTCGAATTTCACCTAACCCATAGTTGTTTATAATACTAAACAGGAACAATTAATTCCCTTAGAGCTGGAATAAGAAATGAATATATGTGCTCTTCATGGTAGTGGGGATCTTATTTTTAGGCTGACAGCTTCAGTGATGGTAAATTTGAGGAAGAGAGAGTGCTGGAGTAAAGTATTTACCTGCTTCAGATTTTCCCAAACTTTCTAGGCTCATGGTTATATAGTCAGCTCAGTTATTTATTCATGGGTATATGTATAAGGTTTTAGATTATTAAGTAGTTAGATCCAAAGTAATTTACTGACTGTAATTTGTATGGCACCCACCAAGTGTTCTTGTGTTTTCCTCAAAAGTTTAAAATGTCCTAAAAAAAAATAATAAATAAATAAAATGTCCTGCGGGGTTCATCTGATTCACTGCAGTGACCCTGGTTTCCTCAGCACACACAGTTTGGGAATTCTAGATCTCTGACTTGATAGGTAGAAGGATTTGAGGAGCACTATATTTGGAGGAGGTCTTTGGGGAAGTTCCTAGCTCTGCGTGAGCTTCTGTTTTGTTTTGAGGAGTCTATATTTTATTTAAGTCATTTTTTTAAAGTTCTAATTCACTCAAAATTCTTCAGTTTGTGGTGGTTCAAGTGGTAAAGAATCTGCCTGCCATGCAGGAGACCCCAGTTCGATACCTGAGTTGGGATGATCCCCTGACCCACTTCATAATCTTGCCTGGAGAATTCCATGGACAGAGGAGCCTGGTGAGCTACAGTTCACTGGGTTGAAAAGAGTCAGACACAACTGAGAGACTCTCTCTCTCTCTCTCTCTCTCTCTCTCTCACACACACACACACACACACACACACACACACACACACACCAGGGTGGAATAGGGTGGGGGCCAGGGGTCAGGGGGACAGGCAGTCGTGGGGACAGGGTTGGGGTGAGGCTGAGGCTGCCCCACTCCCACCCCCTCACCGCCCCCCGTCATTCTTCTGCTCTCTCATCTCCATGTCAGCCTGCTGTTCTCCTGCAGCCACTGCGGCCTGGGCCTTTTGCCCGCCTCCTCAGCCAGCCTGTCAGACATGTTGGCACAGAGCTTCTCCTCCCCTCCAGCTGCTTGTGGATCTGCTGTGGGCACATGGCCAGCTGAACCTCGGCCGCCTTGTTGCTGGGTAGAGCTGCAGGCCCTTCTGCAAGTCAGCCCGGGCATTCCCCACCGGGTGGGCCTCTCCCTCGGGGACAAGGCCCTTCTCATCGTTGCTGTCCGCTTCCTGGGCCTTGTTTTCAGTGGCAGCTGAGAAGACTTGCAGCTTCAGATGACACATGGCCAGGTTGAGGTGGGAGGCCAGCTGAAGGGCCTGCACCTTCTTGTGCGTCCTCCTCAGAGAAGCTCCACTTTTATTCCAGCCAGGACACAATCTTTTTAAAAAAAAAAAAAAGTTATTTATTTATGGCTGTGCTGGGTCTTCCCTGCTGTATGCAGGCTTTCTCTAGTTGCAGGGAGTGGGGGCCACTCTGTAGTTGTGGGGCACAGGCTTCTCACTGCCGTGGCCTCTCCTTGTGGTGGAGCACGGGCTCTAGGGTGCTCGGGCTTTGGCAGTTGGGGTGGACGGGCTCGGCTGCCCCATGGTATATGGGATCTTCCTGGACCAGGGGTTGAATCAGTATCCCCTGAGCTGCAAGGCAGGTTCTCAACCATGACCACCAGGGAAGCCCCAGGACACAGTCTTCTTATACTGCAGCACAGCTTGCTTGGACTTGGCCTTCCTTGAAGTTCACAGTACCTCGCTCCTTCACTACAGTCCTCTGCTCCAGCGTCTCAGAACTCATCTCCCAGGACTCGACCCTCTCAAAAATTCTTGTGCTGTATTTCATACATCAGCTCAGCATTTGGTGGGATCTGGAACTTCTCCTTCCCAGCACTGCTGAAAGCATATAGGTATTAAGATACACAATGGAATGTTCTCTTTTATCCACACACTGAATGGCTTTCTCCAGCCCACAGGAGAAGATGCATGCTCTCTCCCTCACCAACTTCAAAGCTGAGCTCCTGTGGGTCAAAGATATGGTCCTCAAAGTATCCTTCCAGTGAAACCTCCAGGGTGGCGCTGTCACTGGACTTGGTGTATCCTTCCCCATCACCTCCGTATTCTCCTGATGATCTCCTGTGGTCCTCTTCCTTGAACTCCAACAACTCCACCTCAAACACAAGTGTGGTGTTGGGAGGGATCCTGGGAGGGCAGCCTGCTGCGCCCTAGGCATGTTCTGGCTTGCAGGTAATGTGGCATAATTCGCCTGCCTTCATGGTCGCTACAGCAACATCCCAAGCCTTGATGACCTTGCCTCTCCTCAGGTCAAAGGAGAACCTGTCCTTGCAGCCCAGGCTGGAGTGGAACTTGGTACCATCGAGCAGCCAGCCCCTGTGGTGGACAGAGACTCGGTCCCCGATCACGGGCATCTCTGTGCCCAGGCCTTCTCCCTTGATGAACTTAAGCACACCCTCATCCTGCTTGGGGCTGAGGTCCACTCCCTTGAGGGGCTGCGGCACCAACTGCGCCCTGCTCTTGGCTGCCTTCATCTCCTTGATGGTCATTAAACTGTTTCTGTGGTTGCCAGTGGCTGACCCGGGCTTGTGCCTTATTTATTTATTTTTTAAAGTATTTATTTGGCTGCTCCAGGTTTTAGTTGCAGATGTAGGATCTTTCATTGCAACATGCAGGATCTTTAGTTGAGCGTGTAAACTGAAAGATTTTGAAACCAAGGATCAAACTGGGGTCCTCTGCATTGGGAGTACAGCGTCTTAAACACTGGACCACCAGGTAAGTCCTTACATTTCATCTTATTTATTTAAAAACGTTTTCATTTTACATTGGAGTATAGTTGATTAACAATGAAAAAGTGTTAGTTTTAGGTGTACAGCAAAGAGATTCAGTTACACAAATACATATATTTATTCTTTTTCAAGTTCTCTCCCCTTTCAGTTTATTACAAAATATTGAGCAGAGTTTCCTGTACTATATGAGCTTTTTTTTTTTTTTTTTTTTTGTAGAGAAATCTGAGTATCTATGGACAACATATCCAAGGGGAGTAACTTGAGCTTCCAGTGAAATTTGGAGCATTATTGCCATCACTCTGAATATTCACATTTCACTGAAAGAAGTCACCAGCATAGGTGACACCAGGTGAGGTCAGTAGATAAAAGACTAAAGTGGGTGAGCTCGTTCTTGGTGCTTTCAGCCTTTGTTCTCTTGGCTTCCAGAGTCCATGCTCTTGTGGATTTCCTGTGACCTGCTCTGGATAATCCCTCCCAGCTTCTTTGATCAACTAATCCTTGCTATGGAGCTTTTAATTGTTGACATTCTTTGGGTCTTGGTCTTAGATTTCAATTATAGTCTATGAGCAGATGGCTCTCCAAACCTTTAATTTTTTTTCCCCTTCCTATTGGTGTTTTCCTTTTAAAATCACCCCAGTCCTTTAGTAAAAGAAAATCAACCTTGACAGCCATATGCAGAGACCTTGGGGAGATAGAAAGGCAGGGCAGTCTAGGGTTCCCATCATCTAGCCCCACAGAGAGACACGGAATTCTATGACGGGAACTCAGATACGGAGGTTCAGGGGGTCCCCAGCTGTTCAGTAAGGACTCAGTGGAGGAGACACATGACACCCACACACAGCATCTGGGGACCTGACTCCAGAGACATTCTAGAGGCAAAGCTTCCACTTTTCCATGGTATGCTAGATCAAGGGTTCTTCACTCTGGATAAACAACAGAATCACCTGGGGAAATTGCTAAAATGCCAGAGTCCCACCCCGACCAATAAAGTCAGATTTAGAAAGAAAGGCTTGGGTATCGGGGATTTAAAAAAACTCCTGAAGGGATTTCAGTGAGTAGTCAGGATTGAGAACCACTTTGCTAGAGGAGGCTGACTTGAAAAACTGGTGGAGACATGATGGAGCAGAGTGAATGTGCACTTCTCCTGGCCCACCAGCAGGTTCAGAGGAGGGGCCTGGGTCTGTGGGCAAACATCTGGCCACCATGTGAAGCATAGGAATGAATCTACCATGGAGGACTATAGAGCCAAGATATGGAGAAGGGCCACATCTTGATGACATCCCTGAAGTTAGCACGGTGTCTGAGAATTTCAGTTTTATTTCTTATGCTTCCTGGGTGGCCAGTTGGTAAAGAACCCGCCTGCCAATGAAGGAGATGCAGGTTGGATCCCTGGGTCGGGAAGATCCCCTGGAGAAGGAAATAGCCACCCACTTCAGTACTCTTACCTGGGAAATCCCATGGACAGAGGAGCCTGATATATTTCAGTCCATAGCGGGGCAAGTGTTGGACATAACTTAGCGACAAAACCATCACCACCACCACTTTCTCTGTTTACTTAAGCCAAAATCCACATGGACAGAGGAGCCTGATGGGTTACAGTCCATGGGGTAGCAAAGGCTCAGACATGACTGAACAATTAAGCACAGCATATAGAGACACAGCAGAGGGCTGCTGTTCCCTGCTCCCCCTCCTATGCCAACAATCTTCAAGGTACCTTCACATTGTATTTTTCGGCTGTGATGGTCGTTGTTGCTGTGCTTGCAGGCTTTCTCTACTTGCGGTGAGAGGGGGCTATTCTCTAGTTTTGGTGCTTGGGCTTCTCATCGCAGTGACTTTTGTTGTAGAACCCTGGGCTCTAGCTGCTTGGGCTTCAGTAGTTGCAGCTCATGGGCTTAGCTGCTCTGTGGAATGTGAGATCTTCCTGGACCAAGGATCAAACCCATGTCTCCTACACTGACAGGTGTATTCTTAACCTCTGGACTACCAGGGAAGTCTGACATTCACATTTTAGACCTTCTTTAGGTCTTTGTTTTTGCTTTGGTCAGTAGAGATTACTCACTGTGTCCTATTACTTATTCTCCCTTTCTTCCACAGCACAGTTTTCTAGCTGAACTTCCCAGAGAAATAAAGGCTACAATTCTTAGCCTCCATTGTAGCTATGGCCATACTAAGTTTTGGCCAGTAGGATGCAGCAGGATAATGTGATTTTATCCAGAATCCTTAAAAGACAGCAAGAACAGACTGTTCTCTCCATCTTTTCTCCATTTTGCTATCTGAAACATAAATGTTTCCATCTTTGACTTGACGATGAGGCTGTATCTTAGGAATGGGGCAGACGGGGAGCTTGAGTCCTGGGAATTCCAGGGGGTAGAGCCACCCCACTGACTCTGGCCTGACACTTCCAGAGTTCATTTGTGTGAATGAGAAATATCAAATTTCTCTCTTATTAAGCCAATGCTATTTTGGGTTTTCTGTCACTCAAAGCTGAATCTAATCCTAACTAATATACCCTATTAAGTTTCACCTTGAGATATTTGGACCATCACTTTGTGTCTTTGGGTACTAATGTCATCATTCAACATCTCTATGCCATCCAGTTCTCTATCATCAGTTAATGAGATGGGCGTGCCATCTGTGCTTCCACCGTCATTAATAAAAATAGGATCAGGAGAGGGTCAAGGACAGCAGTCTCCAGTCTACTCTGAAGAGCTCTCTCCTGGTGATCTAGCCACCTTCTTTTTGGACACAGATGTGAGGTGGTGCAGAGGGAAGCTGAGGGGTGTCATCCACAGATCAGTGGGTCTCAAGCTTTAGTGTGTAGCAGGACCACCAGGAGGGCTTGTTAAAGTACAGATTACTGGGCTTCAGCCCCGGAGTTTTTGATTCAGGATGTCTGGAATATGACCCAAGTATTATTTTTAAATATATTTTATTGAAATATAGCTGATTTACAGTGTTGTATTAACTTCTTCTGTACAGCAAAGTGAGTCATATATGTATGCATATATACACACACATATTCTTTTTCATATTCTTTTCCACTATGATTTATCACAGGATATTGAAGAGCTGATTCATTGGAAAAGAACCTGATGCTGGGAAAGATTGAGGGCAGGAGGAGAAGGGGATGACAGAGGATAAGATGACTGGATGGCATCACTGACTCAATGGACGTGAGTTTGAGCAAACTCCAGGAGACAGGGAAGGACAGGGAACCTTGGCGTGCTGCAGTCCATTGGGTCACAAAGAGTTGGAGATGACTTAGTGACTGAACAACAACAATTGAAAATAATTCCCTGTGCTATACTGTAGGACCTTGTTGTTTATCCACTCTATATGTAATAGTTTGCATCTGCTAATCCCAAACTCCCAGTCCAGCTCTCTCACCTCCTCTCCCAAGTATTTGTGTTTCTAACAAATCCCAGGTGATACTGATATTGATGGTCCAGGGACCATACTTTGAGAACCATATCCTAGCATATCATCTTTCAGTTGGAAGATGATTTATAAAAGAGAAAGAATATTTAAAAGTTGTTTGTGGATGGAAAGCATGTCTTTGAGGGGACAAAAGGGGTGGACTGCAGAATATCATGGAGGGTTGGACGCTGGTAGGACCAGAGCACTGTCTTGTGGCTTCCAAGAAGACCAGCAAGACAGGGAGCAGGTGAAGGCAGACTGGTCCATTTCCTTTGAGGAGGCTGTAGGAGCTTCTGTCTAGTGTCTTTTATTTTCTCAGTGAAGAATATACAAGGGCATTAACTGAGGCAAGGGACATTAGCTGAATGAGAAATTTTGAAATACTTTTGGCATATCCAATATCCCAGGGGATTGTAATATGCACCAGGAAATGATAGAAGACACAAGCAGGGTTGATATCTGCTTAACGAGCTAATTAACTAGTTTTTTTTTTGCTTTAGCATATTACTAAGAACATCTAAATGTTAAACCTTAAGCAGTTCCATGGAAGATACGGTACTAAATTCACCAAGATATCTCCAGACCCAGAAAAGTGCTTAGTGAATGTTCAGTTCAGATTTAACAGTAAACAAGCAGGTGAAATTCAATTTGTAGTTAAGATTATACCCTTGGGGGGAAAATGACACAAAATGACAGCTCATTACTTTTTCAGTTAATTATTTAAGTAATTATTTAGGCTGCACTGACTCTTTGTTGCTTTCTCTAGTTGTGGTGAGCAAGGGTTACTCCTTGTTGAGATACACGGGCTTCTCACTGCAGTGGCTGCTCTTGTTGAGGAGCACAGGCTCTAGGCATGCAGGCTTTAGTAGTTGCAGCCGTGGGCTCTAGAGCACAGGTTCAGTGGTTGTGGCCCAGGGGCTTCATTGCTGCTTGGTATATGGGATCTTCCTGGACCAGGAATTGAACCTGTGTCCCCTGCATTTGGCAAATTCTTACCTACTGAACCACCAGGGAAGTCCTCATTCGTTTTTACATGGATATATTTTTTGTTACTTTTAATGAATTAAAACAATATTCTGTTTCGTGGCCAGGCATTATATAATGTGTGATTGTCTTAATAGAAATAACACTTTGCACATTGTTGGAATCTCACATCTTTAAAAAAAAGAAAAAGAAAGACTACAAGTGTACTACTGCCAAATCCTGAAATGCAATTTTCTTTCTAGAGTTACAAGAAACTCCAACAGGTTCTGCTACATGGAAGCACATTCTAGCTTACTTGTGACACACATGAGCAGTTAGAATCGTAATTTGCTAGGCTTCTCTCTGGGCACATGAGAAGTCAGGTAATAAATCTAGGGACACTTGGAATAGCTTCACACACCTCCACAGAGGTGGAGACTGGCTTCAAATTGCCACTGGTTCTGAGAGCAAGAAATTAAGACCAGGAGACATCCAGAGGACAGGTCTATCACTAGATTGGGTCCTCAGAGAAGAGGGTGGTGACCCACTGTCCCAATTTGCCTGGGTCTCGGGAAATGCCTGGGATGTGGGGTTTTCAGTGCTAAACCTCTGATGGTCTAGGACAAACCAGGCCAAGTTGCTCACCCTAGCAGGGGCTGGCCATTTTGGGGAAAATTCCCCAATATAGCTAGTACAGCAAGACTGCTGCTTTGATTTATGGTGGCTTATTTAGCTTCAGGAGTGTGCGACTGGCGTAGTGTTGCACACTAACCCTAACCTATCCCTAACCCTAACCCTAACCCTAACCCAGGGCCGCACCCTCAGAAGGGCCCAGGCTTGGTAGACTAAGTCCCCTACACACCAACCTTCAAGTTGCGTACTTTCAAAGGTGGGAATGTGTGTTCCATCAAAGTCGGGTGTGAGTGAAATTGCAGCTTGCCCTCCACCTCATATTGCTGACGATCCTGCAGCTCTACCATCTCCCATTTCCACTTTCTCCTCCAGTTAGTAACTCTTCTTGCTTGTTCGCTCGATGCCAGCCCTGTATGCCAGCTGCTGTACTGAACTACTGAACTTTTCAAGGTACTGTGATGGAAGCTTTAAAATGTTATCTTTATTTTTTTTTGTATTTGTATGTTTTTGTGTATAATTTGTGTGAAAAGAATTATAAACCATACTATAAACAGAATTATAAGAATTATAAACTGTACTATAAATTATAAGCAGTACTATTGTGCTAACTGGATATCCAGGTTAACTTTGTTGGACATACGAACAAATTGGACCCATGAACACACTCTCAGAACGGAACTTGTTGGTATACAGGGGACTTACTGTTTAATACTCTGGTATCGTCACTTGAAAGTCTTAATAACATTTGAAGGAAGTGTTCCTCACTTTTATTTTGTACTAGGTCCTGAAAATTGTGTCGCCATTCTGCAAATTATGTAGGAAGGGAGCTGGGCCTTCTGTTTTTATTTCTTTGTGTCTTTCCTGACGAGAGATGGAGACAGTTTTCTCTCCCCACTCTGCCTCTCTTCTCTCTGCTTCCTCTCCTCTTTTTGGTTAAGCCAAACTTACATCCATTAATTTTTTTAAAAGGCCATGCTATCTTATCACAAATGTTAGTGTCTGAAAAACTAAACTTGGCTCAAATGCAGCCTTTCCATCCTGGATGTGTTTCTGCCAGTAACGAAAAGAGAGCAGGGGAAGGAAGAAGGAAAGTATTTGGAAAAGCTGAAGAAAGTGTGGCAGAAATACCAGCTGGGAGTCTCCACAGCGGGAGAAGCCACACATAACTCTGGATCAAAGGAAGAAACCTCAGGGAAGATGAAAGGGGGTGATAATTGTAAGTGGAGGCAGAGTTTCATAATAGAGGTGATAATAACAGGCATTTATCTGTGAACCTGAGGGAGAGTTAAAATTGAGCAGGGTGGGTGTTGGCCCGAGGATGGTCCCTTGACTTACCTCTTCTGTGGAAATTTTCATTCTTTCCAAGTTATGTCTATTTTTCCTCTTGGGTGTTAACATCAAGCTTTTCCCAACAAAAAGATATTTCACTGAGGTATGGACTTATGTTTTTAACATGGACCATAAGGAGGACAGGAGATGGTTCGCTGAGAGAGAGTAAGGAAGGCTGAATTTGGATTGTGAAGCCAGTGGCTGAGCTGGGTGTCGGGCTGGAAAGGTGGCCTTCAGGAACTGGCTGAGCTCTGCTGTGTTCTAACCCTGACCGCGTCTCGGAACAGGACCCAGAGGGCGGGCTCACCGTCCTCGTCCCCAGGGATGGGGTGTGCGGGGACCTCATTCTCCCCTGGCCAGGCCGCCGAGTGACAGTCGTGTTGGCCGTCGTTGCTCTGAGCTGCTCCGGGCAGCAGGGAACCAGACACCGCAGCTTAGAGAGGTAGGTGGAGTAGGGCCTGCTTTGAAAAACGCAGGCTCTTGGAGATTTAAAATGTATTTTTCTTCCTGTCTTTGGATGGATAGATGAAAAAGCCGTGTGATAGATGAGGCCCGGGAAAGGGAGTTGTCATCAGATACAGAGATTCTGCCCCCAGGCGCTGAAAGGATGCTCTGGTCCCTGTCGTCTCTCTACCCCCATCCTTTGCTTGGACATAATTGGATTAAGAATCACTCTGTGGAGATCTGGACAAATCATTCTGGGCTTCTTAGGGAGGGAAAAGTATTCTGTAAATACAAAGTCTGACCTGGCTGGAAAAGAATAATTTTTAAAGCTTAGAAAACTTGGCAGCATGTGTGTGTTTGGGTCCCGAGTTTTATTAAACTAAGTGATGAATGACTTCCAGGCAATGAGGCAGAGAGGCTAGAGAGAAGTTTCCAAGTAGCTGCCAATATGTCTAGAGCAAGGACACCAAATTCAGGTTCCCCAACTGCTTTTGGCTAAAATGCCCTTACATTGTAAAAGTTGCTCTTTTTTCCTGTTTTAACAGAATTCAGGCTCAGAACAGGGTTGCTGGAATGTGATTTTTAAAATATTGTGCATACACCTGGCATCACTGACACAATGGACGTAAGTCTGAGCAAACTCCAGGACAAAGTGAAGGACAGGAAAGCCTGGCAAGCTGCAGGCCACGGGGTCGCAGTCGGACACGACTGAGCAACTGGGCAGCAGCAACAACACAGTTCTAGAAGCATCTTGTTATGAAATAGTATGCATTTAAACTATTTTTTGGCGTGTTTGTGAAGTCAACTCAGGTCTGCTTTAGAAAGTAAAACTATATTTATGTGTTAAGGTAAAAAATTCTCAGCAAGGCAAATATTTAAAATATTCAGGAAATGATGACAATATCAGAATGAGGTCATTGTTGTTGGATGGTGACTATTTAAATTCAAAAGACGTACATCAACTCTGTTCTCTCCTTTAAAACACATCTGAGCCTTAATTAAACATCTATTTTTAGCAGAAGGTTTTACTAGTGTTCCACTAGAGGGCAGCATTTGATAAGGGTTTGATATATGGATTCATGGTGTATACTATCATAGAGGTTTAATTTGTTTTTTAAACAATGATAGAAGTAGAAAGTACTTAACCTGCTTTCATCAGCACAACTAAAGTAAAGAAGCTGTGCTGTGCTTGGTTTGAACATGGGGTAAATAGTCCTTAAAGCAGCGTATCCTGAGTTGAAGAGGGTGTGTTTGTTTTGTAGTTTTCAAGATGAAAAAGCCATCAAAGGAACTAAAAACAATTTAGGTGGTACTTTACAAGGGCTGGATTGATCCCATTGGCTTGCTAAAAAGGAGTTTGGTTGTTTTAACTCAATCTCCAACACACTATTTACCCTCCCTGGGAAACCATCCAAATTTGGCTGCATTCCATATGCTAGAAAAAGCTCGGAGCAGGAGCCAACTGTGGGTTTGACTGAGGTGGCAGAATAGCCCAAGGAGAGGTTGCAAGCTGCTTCCCAGGGGCCAGAAATGTCCTAGCCGCACCCGTGGGGTGGTAGTGACTGGGAAGAGGCAGAGAGGTGTGCCTGGCACATAGGTGTTAGTCAATAAAGATTGTTTTTCTTTTATTCACTTCTGGGCAATTGTATCCTGTCTTGTGGTGCTGCTTACCTTATTACAATTTTAAAATTTGAAGAAACTCATGCACATGCTAAACAAGCAATGTAAGATGGAGCATGATTAAAACTGCCTTTCTGAACTCCCAAACCAGACCCACTGTCCAGAGGTAACCACCAACAATGATTTTTTGGCATATCATGCAGAAAATATTCTTGCAGAAAGATGCTTATATCATTATATGTATATGTTATACAAATAGGGGCAAATTATATAGACTTTAGTCTATACTTCGCTTTTTCTGTTCCACAGTGCATCTCGGAAGGCCTCTATATCTTATGGATTAGCTTTTCAATTTTATTTCTCTAGTGAGACATACTTCTCAATGGCAGGAACTTCATTTTTTTCCCTTTTCCTTTTTTGCCTCATAATGTCAGAGGAACTACTGTCATCAGTCTTGGTGTTTAATAACCACTCTGAGGATAAAGAAGATGTCGTGTATGATATGTGTGTGTGTGTGTGTGTGTGTGTGTGTGTACGCGTGCATGCATGCTAAGTTGCTTCAGGTATGTCTGACTTTTTGTGACCCTATGGGCTGTACCCTGCCAGGTTCCTCTTTCCATGGGATTCTCCAGACAAGAATACTGGAGTGGGTGGCCATGCTCTCCTCCAGGGGAGTCTTACCCACCCAGGAATCAAACCCGTATCTCTCACATCTCCTGTATTGGCAGGCAGGTTCTTTACCACTAGCACGACCTGGGAAGCCTATATATATGTTTGTGTGTGTGTGTGTGTGTGTGTGTGTGTGTGTGTACAATGGAATTACTCAGGCATAAAAGAGTGAAATAATGACATTTGTTGCAACATGAAGGGAGCTAGAGATGATCATGTTAGGTGAGGTAAGTCAGAGAAAAATAAACATCATGTGATATCACTTATATGTGGAATCTCGAAAAATGATGCAAATGAACTTATTTACAAGACAGAAACAGACCCACAAACATAGAAAAACAAACTTAGGGTTACCAGAGGGAAAAGGGGAGGAGGAGGGACAAACTAAGAGGATGGGATCAACAGATACTACAATATATAAAATAGACAAACAACAAAAACCTGCTGTATAGCACACAGAACTCTATCCAATATCCTATCATATCCTGTAGTAGAAAACAACCTGAAAAGCAGTGTTTATATATTTTCTCTTATTAATATATATATTCTGAATCACTTTGCTGTAAACCTGAAACTTTGTAAATCAACTATACTTCAATAAAAAAAATTAAAAAAACAAAAATAACTCTTCTGGTATTGTTTGGCTGGAGTGTTAGTCTGCTCCTGGTGAGAAAGCAGGAGATAGGTTTATAATCATATTAAGGAATTTGTTTTGTTCATTTCCAAAAAGCAAGAACTGGAAAGGGTACAGTGGGTCATCTTGTCTAGTACTTTACTCAGCTTCTTATACTTGAAATTGACTGCAAAAGCAAAAGCCTTGCATTATTTTGGTCTGCGGGTTGCCCCAGCTCTTTTCATTTGCCACTCAAGAGTGAGCTGTGCCTTTGAATTGGCAGGTGTTCATAATCTCATTATTACGACTGGATGCCCTGTGCTAACAGCGTATAAAGGGATCCTCAGACGCCAAAGATGGCGTTCATGTGGGTCTAATATTCCCATGCTATAGAGCACTGACAGTGGTCCTTCATCTTAGAGGTTGTGTGTTAGGAGAGCTGAAATCGAATACCAAAATCTTAGTAGTTTTTACATTTTATCCTTTGTTTAGCTTTTATAGCCTTGATTTGAGGAAACTTTCTGTTCCCAAAGGATCTGTGAATTAGTTCATTTAGAAATAATCATATCTAGAGACTTGATTGTTGTGTAACCTCTCAATTTTTTTCCAAGTCCTTGCATAAAGAACTAGAGGGTGTTATGCTAAGTGACATGTCAGACAGAGAAAGACACCGTATGATTTCACTTGTAGGTGGAATCTAAAATACAAAACAGAGGAACAAGTGTAACAAAACAGAAGAGGTGTTATAGATACAGAGAATAAACAGGTGGTTGCCAAAGGGGAGATGAGTGAGGGGAAGAAAGACGTAGGTGAGGGAGACTTAGAGGTACAGGACTCCAGTTGTGAAATGAATGAGCCTTGGGTATGAAATGTACAGTGTGGGGAATACTGTCAATAACTCTGTAGTATCTCTGTAGGGTGACAGATCATAATTAGACTTGGGCTGATCATCTTGAAATGTACAGAAATGTTAAATCACTACGTTGTCTAACAAGAACTAATATAGTGTTATGGGCCAATTATACTTGATAAACAAACTCTTAGAAAAAGAGATTGGGTTTGTGGTTACCAGAGGTGAGGATGGGGAGAAAGGGAATTGGAGGGATGAAGGCAGTCAAAAGGTACAAACTTTCAGTGTTAGATAAGTAAATACTAGGGATGTAACGTATAACATGATAAATACAATTAACAGTGCTGTATTATAAGTGGAAGCTGTTAGGAGTGTAAATCCTAAGAGCTCTCATAACAAGGAAAAATATTTTTTCTATTTCTTTACTTTTGTATCTATATGAGTTGACGAATGTTCTCTAACTTACTGTGGTGATCATTTCATGATGTCCATAAGTCAAATCTCTACACAGTACACCTTAAACTCATACAGTGCTGTATGCCAATTATATCTCTATAAAACAGAGGAAAAATAAATAAAAGTATTCCGATACCACTTTGGAAATTAAAATATAAATGGTGAACCACAACCACTTCCTGCTAAATAAAGGCAAAATCTCTCAATTTGGGGCAAGATCATGGTGAATTTTACACGTCTATTTTCCTCCAAGAACTCATGTGTCAACAAAATGGACTGTTTCCCAAACCTGCTCCCACTTTCTTGCTTCTGATCCTTTTCTCCCTTGTTTGTCTTTAGACAAGTTTCTTAAGACACAGCTTTGGTTCTATCACTTGCATTCAAGCCAGAAGACACTGAAGGACCTCTGTGTGCAGAGATGCGTCATGGATGCCTTGCTCTGGGGAAGACAATATAGATAAGGCTCAGTTTCTTTCCTTGGCAGATCTGGGGGTGATGGGGACCACAGCTGCATGGAAAGTACTTCAGGGGAGGCTGCAAATGTGCTTCAGGAAGAGGCAAAAAGAAGTGATGAGTTCACACTGGGGACGACATTGTGGTTTCAAAGAGGTGATGTGTGAGTTGGCTTTCCAAGGGTTTGAAGGTCTTGGTTGACCAATTACAGTTAGTGGAAAGATCTTCTAGATTTGTAGTCACTTTCTAATGATGACACAGTTGAAAATGACAAACAGTCTGTGTCTAGAGGATCGGGTGAGTGGAAGAGGCTAGAGGCAGACCATGTCTGCTCTCAGAAG